TCTTGAAATAAGAAAGAGAAACTGCTGAAATAAGAAGCTGAGAGGCAACAGAGCCAGGAGTATTTAGCAAATAAACTACTATATTTGAAATGCCATACAAAAACAACCAAAGAGATCATCCTGTGAAGTTAGAAGAGCTTTCTGAACCAGATCTCCTTCTAAAAGTCAAGGAAAGCTAAATTCACATACAATGAGCATCAGAAAATTGCTGAGGCCAAATCCCATGCAAAGATATTATAGGAAAATGAGATTAAGAAGTAGAACGAGATCCTTACAGACAATAAAGTCATATTAGAAGGATATGTTAAGAAAAAGATAAAACTGTAATGGGTTATTTTGAAACTAACGAAAAGGATTAAGAAAATAATAGAGATATTAAAGAACAACATGAATCAGAATTGGAAATGAGATGATAGAATTCAATAAAGAATTCAAAGTACAGAAAAAAGTCTTTTAGAAGGAAAATAAGAATGAATAAGCACAACAAATATCTGAGGTCAAACAGAACATAAAAAAGAGGCAACACCAAAGTCAAGAGAAGAAAAAGAAAAAAAGAAGTTGAAAGAATGTGAAAAATACTGAAGACAGGAAAAGAAGATCCAAAATACTAGTAATAGGAGTCACCACTAAAGAAAAGAAGCAAGTGAACAGGAATAGGCCTTATTAGTTAGGCCTTTAATAAGGGCCTAATTGATAGGCCTTATTTATTAATAAATTATTGTTTAATAAATTAATATAATTTAATAAATTATTAATAAATAATAAATAAAACAAAGGCCTATAATTCAAGGATATTTCACTGAAATAAAATAATATTTGAAATAACTTACTGAAAGAGTACATTGTATATCTTAGAAGACCTATATCAAGACATATTTATTCTATTGCATAGTAAAGTTATTGGACATTAAAGAAAAAGAAATTCTTTCAGAGTCTAAGTAAAAATAACAAATAACTTACAAGAGAAATACAATCAGATTATCATCAGACTTTTTGGCATTAATGTTTATATGAGAAAAAAATGCAGTAACATATTTAAGATAGTTAAGAAAAGAAAATGTGAGCCAAGAATTGTATGTCCAACAAAATTGGCTTTCAAATATAAAGGACACAGAAACTGTTGTGAATATTTAAAATAAAGTTAAGAAATATTGTTCCTATGAGATTTTAATAAGGAATATACTGAAAAAAGATTTCAGACAAGCAAAATGACAAGTGAGACAGCAGGCTAAAAACATGCAGTAGATATTAATATACAGTATGGAAGCAATACTTACATGGTTTAAAAGAAATAGGTCATAATATTTAATGGCTAAAAGAGCCAAAAATATAGATATAAGCCAACCACAAAAATGTGGAGGAGAAGGGGCAGAGCAGGAGCAAATAAAGATTTTAACTGTTTCCAGTAATTATATTTGGTGGTATCATCTCAATTCAATAATACTGAGTTGTTATTTTAAGCCTATTATATATGTAGAGTGGATAAAGCAAATGAGTAATTATGGGATATTCAACTTCTATCATCTTGCATTTTGAGAGCCAAGATTCTCAGAGTGGAGAAAAAGAAACACATGTATAATATAGAAAATGTCAAGCAAAACCCCAGTAGTTTTGAATTTGAATTGGAAATATCGGCATAAACTTATAAGACATTTTAATATCTATATAAATGGTATAAAATTGAATATATAAATATGTCATATATCATAATAGGTAACAAGGGAGCCATCAAAGATTACTAGGATCATGTTAAAAAATCCTTATAGCCAATTTGAAGATTTTGCTAGTCAAAGATAGAATATTTGCGTTTTATTAAAGATAAAAATTATATAGATCAGAACTCACCTAATAGTTTTAAATCCATGCAATATTTTACAATAAATCAATTTGTCATTTTCTAAGAATGACAGGGAACCAATATGTTAACTTGAAAACTGTGAATAACAAAAGAATTAAGAATTTAGGGTGGCACCTATGGCTCAGTGGGTAGGGCACTGGCCCCATATACCAAGGGTGGCAGGTTTGAATCTGGCCCAGGCCAGCTAAAACAGCAATGAGAATTGCAACAAAAAGTATCCAGGCATTGTGGTGAGTGCCTGTAGTCCCAGCTACTTGGGAGGCTGAGGCAAGAGAATCGCTTAAGCCCAAGAATTGGAGGTTGCTGTGAGCTGTAAGTCCATAGCACTCTACCGAGGATGACAAAGTGAGACTCTGTCTCAAAAAAAAAAAAAAAAAAAAGAATCAAGAATTTATCCTGCCCTTTTCTGTAAAATTTGTACCAGGGAGTAACCAAATAGTAGGTAAGGAGAAACATCTTCTTATAAAATTATTCCAGCTGATAAATGAAAGCAAAATGATAGAATTGAACATTATCATGTTTCAACTTATAATTCTGATCACTAATGGGTACAAATGTTGCAAAAAGAGAGAAACTAGACACTGTGTGTGCCTCCTATTATCTTGCCAATGGTACTGAGCCAGTTTCTGGATCCACTTGTCCATTTGAGGGAAACACAAAAGATCAAAAATGTGTTGAACTGCACCATGAGCCTAGAATCATTTATGACCCGAACATGTGATCATCAAAAACAGACCATAGGTAATTCCATAGGTTAACATTTTTCATTTTTAAAAGATAACTTAAAAGGAACATAAAGGAAGGGAGGAGGAAAATGAAGACTATAAAAGACTTAAAGGAGGAAAGATGGTCGAGACTAAAGGATGCACACTTGGGTGGTAAAACCCTAAAGACATGCAAGGAAGAAATTACAAGGGAAATCCTGATGGAGTTATTTTTTAGACAGAGGATTGGGACTGTGATTGCATTCTAGCTCCTATTCAGAACACAAATAAGAGAGGGGGTGGTGCACCAGAGAAAGGGGGTGCTCTTCCCTTGAGAAGGCCGAGCAGCTAGATCAGAAGTGCAAGTGCCCACTATAGAGAAAAAGCCAAAGTGTATTCAACTCAAGAATCTAGTAAAAGAGACACAATTTTAAAAACAAAGGAAAGAAAAAGAGATGGAATAAAGAGAGTTACAAAGGAAGAATTGTCTAAAACATGAGAAAGTAGAAGGATGCCAGGCAATCAGTGACAAAAAAAATTAATATCATAAAATTACTTAAAATGGAATTTAAGGCAAAAAACTATCACCAGACGTAAAGTTACTGTCTAATAATTAAAAGTAATTTACTGGTAATGTAGTAAATTCTAAATCTGTATACATCTAAACCCTTAGCTTCAACATGGGGGGAAAAAAAAGAGAAATTGACTACTCAGCAGTTATGGAGGGAGCTTTTAATATACTTCTTTCACAAAATAATAAATATACAAACATTTAGTGAGAATATAGAATATTTAAAGATATGATTCTCATGTCAGTTTCAACAAACACATACAGAAAACTGGAGTACACATAGTATCTTAAAACATATATAAAACATTTTAAAAACTGATCTAGTACTAGACTACAAAGTTAACCTCACCATCTGTGAAATAATTAACTTAATAAAAACATTATCCGCCCATGATGTAATACAATTAGAAATCAATATAAAAACGGTTTTAAAACACCATTGAAATATAAACAGAAATTACACTTCAAAATAACTTATGGATCAAATAAGAAATGATAAAGAAAAGTATTTATTACTTAGAACTGAGCAAGTGAGAAGAAAATTCTATAAATAAAATCTATTGGGGCTTAGAGGGAAAGACATAATATGCATCTGTTTTTAAAAAGACTGGAATTTAATGAGCTAAATAGTCAACTCAAAACTTAGAAAAAGAGTAATAGAATAAGTTGAAAGAAAGTAAATTAAGAAAATAATTTTTAAATAGAAATTCATTAAATAGAAAACTAAACACTGGTTTGAAAATCCTAACAAAATTGACAAGCTATTGACAAGATTAATCAAGAAAGAAGGAGAAATATACAAATGAACAATATTAGGAAGAAATAGGGACTTAATGACAAAGGAGTAGAGATTTCAAAAGCCATAAGTGAACCTCATATCATTAAATTTGAAAATATAGAAAATTTTGTCTAAAAAAATACAGATGACTGAAAGTGAATCAAGAAATATAAAATATTTATAATCATTAAGTAATTTAAATCAGTAGTAAAAATTCTCCCATAGTATTTATTTTATTATATAATAAATATTTATTATTGTATTAGTGTTCTACAGAGAAATGAAACCAATGGAAGGAGGGCTATGTGTGGGGAGGGGGTTGGTATGTATAAAGAGATTTATTGTAAGGAACTATCTTATTTGATTATAGAGCCGAGAAGTTCCAAGATCTGCAGTCAGCAAGCTGCAGACCCAGGGGAGCTGATGGCATAAGTGCTAGTCTGAAAGCTGCAACCTGCCAATATTTTAGGCTGAATCCAAAGGCAGGAAGAAACCAATGTCTCAGTTCAAGAGGTCAAATAGAAGGGGCTCTTCCATGCTGTCTTTTTGTTCTATTCAAGTTTTCAATCAACTGGATAAACCCCACGCATTTTAGAGACCACAATCTGCTTTACCCAGTCTATGGATCCAAATGCTAATCTCCCAGAAATACCCTCACAGACATACGGCCAAATGCCAGGCACCTTATAGTCTAGTCAAGTTGACACATAAAATGAACCTTCACGTTAATTTAACTCACAGTATTATTTAAACACAACATCTAAGATAACTTATAGAAAAACTATTAGGTCAAACAAGAGACTTTGGCAAAGTTAATCTACATTGGATAAATACATAAAAATGAATATTGTTTTTATACTCTAGCCACTGCCAATAAAAATGTAATCAAAAGAATGATCATATTCACAGCTACAAAAATTGTAAGATAGCTGGAAGTAAGTCTAATAAATGTGTAAGATTTTTGTGAGGAAAATTATAGCATTGTATTGAAGGACATACAAGGAAATCAACATAAGTGTGTACATGTTTGGGAAGACTAACTTCTAACAAAGAAGTCTATACGTTTAATGTTATTTCAACTTCAAAAATAAGTTGGCTTCTAATGAAGCCCATTTTAGTAGGGACATCTGAGAGTAAGGGTGAATGTCAATGGAGCTGACAAAAAAATATATATCTTGTGATTTTTTTATGTAACTGATAACTGATCTTGAAATTTCTCAAAACTGCTAAGGTCATCAGAAACAAGAAAAGTTTGAGAAACTGTCAGCCAAGAGGAGCCTGAGGAAACAAAATGACTATGATATCCTATCCTGGATGGGATCCTGGAACAGAGAAAGAACATTAGGTAAAAACTAAGAAAATCTGAATAAACTAGGGACATTAGCTAATCATTATGCATTAACATTATCCATTAATTATATCAAATGTATCATTAATATAAGAAATTGATAATACCGAAACTGTATGCATTGAAGTATGGGTAATATGGGAACTCTGTACCCCATGATTGTTTTTCTTTGTGAATTTAAAACTTTCTGAAAAACAATCTATTAAAAAATTTTGAGTAAATTTCCAAGAATAGGTAGAAAGAAAAACAAAGTGAGGGCTGACTCATCATGTCAACAGATCTGACTAGGAACTAGAAACAGTCACATTCTGTAATAGATAGCATGTATGATATGTTATAAACGGTATATAATATATAACAGGGACAGCGTCAGAAAGCATTTGTGGACAAGGAAGTTCTATGGCATAAATGGTGCTAAGCAATTTTTTTCCATATAGTGGATGAAAATTGCATTCTAACCACACAGGGTACACAAAAATAAATTCCACATTCCCTAAATGTGAGAAGTAAAGTTTTTAACCTTTAGATGATGATGTAGAGGACTATTGTTATGATGTTGAAGGTAAGGAAGGACTTCTTAAATATGACACAAAATCACAAACCATCAAAGGAAATATTTAATACATTGAAAACACATTAAACATTCTGTAAAACAAAAAACTCAATAAACATAATTAAAACCAATTTCAGAAGCTAGAAAGTAGTTGAATGGATTAGAAAAAAAATTATATCTAAGAAAGTAAAGCAAGGTATATATAACTTGGGCAAAAACTTTGTATATGTGTATAGACATACACAAATATATGGAAGATTTTCTTGAGGCAGCAAAACTTTGTAAACAACCTGAATGTAAAACACTAAGAGAATAGATATAAGTAAATATTTCTCACATATCAGTTAAAAAGAATGAAATAAGACTACATGTATAACATGAAAGCATATGTACCTTGAAATCATAGCCTTGAGTGAAAAATAGTTACAATAAAAATATATTCAATATTATACCCTTAATGCATATAACAGGCATATAATAATACTGTCATGAAACTAGAAAACATGAATAGAAGGGACAACTAAGGACTTTTATAATTGTGGTGACAATAAGACAAAAATAGAGGAGCAACTCTGTCTGCAATACTATCTCTCCTTTGAAAAAAGATCTGGATCAGATATGAAAAGAATAACAAACATTTACAAAAATTCAGATGGCAATTAAATGAAAGTTTGATATCTCATTCTTTGTAATTTTTTTGTATTTGTAAACATCCATAGTAAATATATCTTTATTAAATTCCACTTGAAATTATCAACAGAAGCAAATACTTTGGCTATTAAACTGGATCAATACAAACTAATTTTCACTAACATTTGCTAACCTAAGGCACTACGACTTTTGGATTTGAGGCAAAGAGGACCAGGATTTGAGCAGCTTACTTCCTGAGCAAATGTGCTTGCCCTCCTTATCTGGGGGTACCTCACCTCAGGCACAGCTGTAGGAAATGAAGGGATCTGGGTTTACCTCAGATTGGTACTTTCCTTGGGAGTCTAGGCTTGGCCTCAGAATTCATAGAGCTCTCTAGGAGAAATACAATCCAATTTACAAACATAAGCCACCTATATAATTTTAAACTTTGTAACAGCCATATGAAACAAATAAAAAGTACGTGAAATTACTTTAAATAATACATTTTCTATAATCCAATATATCAAAAATATTGATTCACACTGTAGTAACAATAATAATGTGTAAATGACATATTTTACATTTTTCTTTTCACACTAAACCTTTAAAGTTTGGTGTGCATATTTTATTGACATGTCTACAGCCATACCACCCTGAATGTGCCTGATCTCATCTGATATTGTACTTAACATTTTCTATCAATTCAGAGTAGTCATATTTCAAGCACTTGACAGTCATATGTAGCTAGGTGCTACAGGACTAAGCAGGAAGAGTAAAACTTTTCCATCCCTATTCTCTAGAGAGTTTGGAAACTTTCTAGAAGTTTCCAGAAAGTCTATTAACTTCTTTTTCTGGCCTGAGATACAAGGAGATATTTCATCACTTATGAGCCTTATAAACTGGCATCCCCAGTGATAGGCAAAGTGGGCTAACTCTGGGTGATAGTGCATGTGCTAAATATCTTTGGGGTGTTCTTTCAATCTCTATTATTTCCAAGTGGTCTGATGTTCTGCAGCAGTTCTCAACCTTCCTAAAGCTGCGACCCTTTAATACAGTTCCTCATGCGGTAGTGACCCGCAACCATAAAATTATTTTCGTTACTCCTTCATAATTGTAATTTTGCTACTGTTATGAATTGTAATGTAAATATCTGATATTAGGCAACCCCTGTGAAAGGGTCATTTGACCCCCAAAGGGGTCACAACCCACAGGTTGAGAACTGCTGTTCTAAAGACTCTTTTTAGTAGCTGGCATTTCTGAGAATTTAAAAAAATTTCCTACAAAGTTGGAGCTTGCCTGTATTGTGTGTTAACTCTATAATCACTTCAAGCGGAGGTCCCACCTCCCTGGGCTGCAGACCTGTTCCAGGCTGTGACCTGTTAGGAACTGGGCTGCATAGTAAAAGGTGAGTGTCAGGCGAGCAACTGAAGCTTCATCTATGTTTACAGTGTCTCCACATCACTCATGTTACCACCTGAGCTCTGCCCTTGAGTCACATCTGCAGGGGCATTAGATTCTTATAGGAGCATGAACTCTGTTACAAAGTGCACATGTGAGGGATCTAGGTTGTGTGCTCCTTATGAGAATCTAATATCTTCCTGCCCCATATCTGAAAAAACTGTCTTTCATGGAACTGGTCCTGGTGCCAAAAAGTTTGGGGACCATCGACTTAAAGGCTGTAGGGTTGTCCATGAAGATAGAACTAGATTTTCTGTGGACTAAAAAGTAACATGAAATGTTTAGGCCAACAAACACAGTGGTGAGATTTCTTCCTATATTGAATAATTTATTCAAAAACATTAACTGAGTGCCTACTATGTGTCAGGCTCTGTGCTAAGATTTGGGAATACAGTGCTACCTCAAGACACGGTTTGTTTTCTAATGGATTTTCTGTCTAGTTGATAAAGGCAGAATCACCCATTCTCAGTGTACTTGGTACTAGAGGTATGTACTGCACGGCTCCTAGAAGGGTTCTTTCATCTGGTTATTATGGACGTCTGACCTTGTCTGGGGGCGTTATCTGAGTTGCAAGTGAAAGAATTATGGCAAACAGGTACCCCTCTCCATTGAGGTGAGGAACACTCTCCAAAATCTCCTGTAGTGATTGAAGGGTGACTCCAGAAAGAGATACCTGCCTCTTTATCCTGAGAACCTGTGAATGTGGCCTTACTCAGAAAAAGGGTTTTTGTGGATATCATTAATTAAAAGAGTTCAAGATGAGATCATTCTGGATTATCTAAATCCCATGACATGTATTCTTACAAGGAATTGAAGGGGCCAAGACACAGACACAGACACAGACGAGAAGCCACATGAAGATGCAGGCAGACTGGAGTGAGGCATCTGGATGCAAGGAAGGCCAAGGAGTGCTGCAACCACCAGGAGCCAGGAGGGGGCGCAGGGCAGATTTCCCCTCATGGCCGCCAGAAGGAGCTGACCCTATGCTGACACCTTCATTTTAGACCTCTGGTCTCTAGAACCTCAAAAGAATAAATTTCTGTTGCTTTAAGCCCCCTGGTTTGTGGTCATTTGTTACAGCAGCCACAGGAAACTAACACATCCTCTTTTCCTATTGATTGTAAACTTTGTTGGGGGAGGCTGCTTTCATCATCTTTATCAAGTATGTCAAATGTTTAAGTTCTTATTGGGTTCTTGGTGCTAACCAAGGGGCTTAGATAAATCGACCAACAAATCTAAGTGTCTTAGCTCATCACTAGTCAGCAAATGTTTATGGTGGTCCTACTATGTGTTGGGTACTCTTCTAGGTGCTGGGGACTTCGGGGAGAACAAGAGAGGCCGAGATACTGTCCTACAGCAGTTACATTCAGAGCTGGGAGGACAGACCACAGAATTTTGGAATATCAAATATCTGACCTGTTTTCCAGTCGCCTTCCTTCCCACACTTAGCTCTGATACCATGCCATTTTCACTGCAAACAAAGCTAGTAATGATCCTCCTTTTGTAACCTCCCACCCTGCCTCTTAGTTTTCTCCTAATTTGCTGAATTTTTTATATAGAAGAAAGGGATGCTTATACTCAAAAACATTGGCAATCCCTGACCCATAAGATGAAACACAAATGCCCTGCATGGTGGAGGGTACCCTAATTTCTCCATGTAGAGCCATCTCCTATGTAGCTCTCTGAGAAACCTTTGCTTCAGTGCTAATAGACTTCTTCTAACTCTTCAACACCACACGCTTTAAGCCCATCTACCCTTGATTCTGCTGTTCTCTCTCTGCCTACTCTTCCTTGCCTTTCCCTGTCAAATATTATCTTCTCTGAAACAGTCTCTGATGTGCCAGCAGCTCCCAGAATTGGACTCCACACCTGATCAAGTCTTTGTGCTGCTGTACTGACATGAATTAATTCATTTACATATTCTTCTGGACTGTGAACTCTTTAAAGATACAACCTGGTCACCCTCATTTTTGTGTTCCAGAGTTTGCAGGCAATAGGCACTCCACAGTATTTGTAGAATCACTAAATGACCCCAATAACCCTCAGATGTGAACTGACAAAGTAGACCTAGAACAAAGTGGTGTAGAAAAGAGTGATGTAGTGATGTGTTCATAATTGGGTCATTTTTAAAAAATGCAAACACAGGAATCATCTAATATTTAATGATTAAAACTTAAAT